ACTTTCAACCAACTGTTTACCTTTTTTTAAGGCTTCAGAGTTAAAACAATCCGAGTGTGTGATATTCCTAAAGCCTTTTTTAATGATAACATCCATTATCAGATGAATAAATATACTAATTTTTTGCTAACTAATTGATTATTACTACAAGTGTGCATCGGTGTATGCTGTTGACGTATAATGTAAGTAAGTAAGTAAGTCTTTATTTGGCACTAAGGACACTTTATTTGACATGATGAATTACAGCAGATACATTGTTGTACAAGCGTTGAAAGTGTAAAAACAGCTATCACAGGTAACGCTCAAAGAAAGTATCATACAAAACAAAGAGATAATAAAATAAAATATATAAATAAATAAAAAATAAAAAGATAAAAAATAAATAAATAAAATTTAAAAAATATGCATAATAAAAACACTGATGTAATAAAAACATTTTATAAAAACAGTAATGGTCAAGTAAAGTATGATAAATAAAATAAAATGGAATTACAACGAACAATTTAAGTTAACAGTCAACATAGATAGACCACTATACAATTAAAACTAAAAATCACAGCTTTAAAAGGCACACACAATGTACAGTTGTCATCAGCTGGCGGGGCAAGTACTGGGTCGAGCCAACGCGAAAGAGGTGCTCTCGGAGACGAGTCCTGAAGCAGGGACCATAGGCGAGCCTCCTGATCGCCACGGGTAAGTCATTCCACATCCTGGAGGCATAATTTATAAACGAGTGCCTCTAACACTAGGTTCTTGTGTGAGAAACAAGCAAGTCAAAATTAGAATGCCTTAAGGATCCAAGCCCACCGGCAGGTCGATAGGACAGCTGTTCATGAAGATAGCCCGGTTCACCGCGATGGAGCACACCAGCAAGCAGACAGAGGCACAGGTAGTCGCGCCGCTCCTCGTAACTGGGCACCCCGAGCTGCCTGTATTCTGATGCCCGTGACGAAACGCAGTGCCGCATTCTTGTAGCGACATAGCTTCAACCTCAGCTCGAGCGACAGATCCAGGAACAGGCCAGGACAATAGTCCAAGTAAGGGAAAACCAAGGCCTTCACAAGTAGAAGTCTCGTAGAGGCAGGCAAGAAGTAATTGCACTTTCTCAGACGAACAAGAGCACCAAAGCATCGTCTCACAGTGGCAATCGTCTGCTGAGCACCCGACAGAGTATTGTCTATATACAGTCCCAGTATTTTCATACCATCCTGGAACCGCACGACATCACCGCCAACCCGGAGCACCGGCAATGAGTCCGTCAGGAGCTATCCCATAAAATTACGCATAGCCACCCAAAAGGCCTGGATCTTATCGGGCCGCACTTTCAAGCAACTCTGATACGCCCACCACAGTAGTGCCTCGAGGTCCGAATTCATTGCAGCAACAATGCGGGTCACCTCGCTGATGGGGCTACTTTTCCAAATGGTGAAGTTATCAGCATACATATGATGAGCACAATGCCGAAAAACTGAGGGCACGTCGTTAATGAAAAGGGCAAAGAGCAGAGGACTCAGCAAACATCCCTGTGGCAGGCCAGCAGTCCTGACCACAGGACGAGAACGAATGCCCTTGGGAGAGACCACTGTCTGGGTTCTTTCCGACAAAAACGACTGGATCCATCTCCCAGCAGAGACGGAAAAACCAAGGGCCCGGAGCTTATGTACAAGAAGATTGATATTCACGAAGTCAAATGCTCTGGCAAAGTCGACACAGACCACCAGAGTAACCTCCATGTTATCGATCGCTCGACGCATGCTATCAACCATCTGGATCAGTGCAGAGTGAGCGCTATAGCCCCGTCGGAAACCCGATTGAAATGGGTCGAGTATGCCCCTCTGTCGCACGTACTCCTCGATCTGATGGAGGGCAACAAATTCAAGCAGTTTAGACAGGGCGCAGGTTATGCTGATCGGTCTCCAATCCTCAAGCCCACGGGGTGGATGGCGCTTAGGAATCGGCCTTACTATCACGCGTTTCCACTCTGATGGAAACGACGCGCATTGCAGCGAGAAGTCAAATATATAAAGTAGTACCGGCATAATAACGGGCATGCACCTCCGGATCAGGGAAATAGGCAGCTCATCAGGCCCGTAAGCATTCGACTTGACGCTATGAACGGCATCGACGATAACCTCCGGGGTTACATGGCAGAAATAAAAACCATCGCATTAACGATCAGCCAACAAAGGCGGCGCCAAGAGTGGAGGCGCCGCGACTCCCGGGTCATCCGCAAAGTGCGCACTCAGCGCCTCCACATCCAGTCTCAGGATGGAGAAAAAGACTATACAAACTTCTGATTCTTAGTCCGTTGGTCGAGACGCACATACACGCTCTGCTTTTTTCTTCTTCATCTGCTGTTGCAGACTGAAGGCCTGGCGATACATACACCATTATGGCACCTTGAACCATGCAGTGGCACCACCCGGAGAAAGCAAGGCCCCTGAGCGCGGATTTAAATGCATGTGCGTACGCACAATATAAAACGAAACACACCTTTTCATGCAGCACATTAGAGGTCAAAACGCATACATATACATATATTTCTTAAAAGAGACTTAAAAGATACCAGACGCTTACTATCGCTGCAGAAACAGAAACTTCTCTGACTTCTTCCGTCAATAAAACTGTCATGATACTTTAAGGGCAAGATACAAATTATTTTTTAATGGTTTAAACTCATATTCAATTAAAACACTATTCTATTAATTAACAATTTATTGTTTCAGGCATTACGTAACAGTAAAAATTAGTACCCTTACTACTATCACTACCCCCGGTGGATTTCTGCTATTTTTTTTTTATTAGTCGCTTTTAAGGTGGCAGATAGGGGCACTCCCTAGTTCTGAGGGGTACCAAGCAGGTCAGGACACTATTCGCGGCGTTGGCAAAGAATAAGAGGGAAAGCGTGTGAGGGGTGTTGGTTTGTGTATTTATGTCTGTAGGGGAATGAGCCTTGAGCTTTTTGCTCTCATCGATGTGAATACGTGGGCCAGCACTCCTTGTGCTAAGTGCCTTTTACTTTTCGCTTGGGCACACCACCGTGGGTACATCCTGAATGCTTGAGGCAGACTTAAAAAACTCGCACTAGCCGTGTACAGAAATTAGCGATATTTATAACATTCTTTTCAGATAAAAGCATGACACTCACACTAAACCAACACAGGCACACTAATAAAATATTTTTGGTTTCGGGTGGCGGGATCTATCTTTTGCTGGCAAGGGGGCCTTGGCAGCAGGTGAAGCCAGACAATAATGCCCGAGTAATACCGGGTAACCACATTTGATGTAGCTGCACGCCTTGTTAACAAAAAAGACATGGTAGGCTGACTAATCTAGGCTTACTAGCACTGAAGGGGCTGCTGCATGGTAGCACTTTCCAGTGCATTGTTAAAGCCAAATAACCAGTTTTGACAGGTTCTCTGCTCCGGTCATTGGTTTGTATGCCAGTCTCGTTTCCGTACGACACTTATCATATACTTCCACAAAAGTTAACTACACGAGAACATTTCAATATTACAAAAAAACTAGTAGTAGAAAATGACAATTCATATTGAAATCTCATGTTAACGTGTTAAATACAACATTATTGTATTTGATGTTATTCATATAGATAAAAATTATTTACTCATAACTGACGGTAAAGAAATATTCACATCAGACAATTTTTTTAAGGCACTTAAATGCTTGTAGCATAAAATTTCCATTCTAATAAATTATAAATTGCAGCAGATGGTTGCACAATAGAGTTTAAAATATGCAAAAAAATTAAGCTGCACTGATATCAGTTATACTTATATAAAAAAAATTTATTTCTATTAAAGTTGCAGAAATATTATGGATAGTTTATTTCAATAATCATTTTTGTATTTTAAAAAATTGTCGGAAGATTATGAATGGTATTAGCAATATGAAAGTTTTTCGATAAACATAGAGCTTAAATTCAATAAGCTTTATTGTTAATAATACAATTTTATTAAATACTAGTTCTTAATTGGTTCGTAACATCGTTACTTACATGTCTACAAAAAGTTTTTAATAAATTTTACTCACAGTATAAGGTCATACATATAAAAAAAAAATTTACACAGGCCTCCTTATGGCCAATATTTATAATTTTTCATAAATTATCCTTCACTATATAAGTTTCTCGTGTAAAAGACAGTTGAAAACCATTATAAGTTGATTATTTACAAGATTTTCTTCTTAACGATCATATACAATTATCTAACTTACTATTTTGAAAAATTTATAAATGACTAATCACTTACAAATATATCATGTAGTACATCTGATAACGTAAAGTACAAGATTTCTGGTAGAGAAACTACATATCCCTTAAATTAGTAGTCTTTAGTACAAAAAACTGTAAAAACTTAGCGTTACAATCGCATAATTGCACTAGATCATATGCAGCGATAATAAAATAATTTCTTTGGAATTATGAAGGTCATATTCTTGTTATTTGACACTTGCAACTAAAAAAATTAAGTATGTGCAGTATTTTTACCACACTGGTAAAAGAAATTTTAATTGTACAGCAAATTTTTTACTGTGATAATACATTATTCAACTGCTCTTGGATGACGATTGAAATGACAACATAAATTGCATTTTTTCAATCTTTGTAGAATGAAGTATGGTATTTATTTCAATTCAGGAACTACGACAACATACTTAGTCCTTCCGACTTGAGTCGTTTTGTCATAGCATTCATCGTAATAATTATGCAACTTAAATTTTTTGCACTGGCAAGAAAAATATCTTTAAAAAAATAAAATAAAATAAAAATGGAAAGAAAAATAACTGAAAACGTTATGAAAGTTCTAGTGTTAACAGTATGGTAAAATATATCAAGTAAGTTTTGTCATACAAATACAAGTTCTAACCGTTACAGGAATGATGGTCAGTCAACCTACAACATCTTAAATAACTGTCAGTCTTCTATGAGTAAACTTTAAATGACATGCAACTTAAGTAACAATGGTAACAATTTCTTTTACCTTAGTCTCAAATTCACGGAATTGTTTTTCTCTCTCTTGTCTATACTTTTCAATTTCATCCTGAGCTTCTTCTTTTGCCTGCTTCAGCCTACGAGCTTTACCTAAAACAATTTATGGTTTAATCAGGCAATAAGCATTTTATTTATAAGTATTATTTATACATTACTATAGCAGGAAAAATAAAGAAACTACGATTATTTTCCATCTGTAGGGATAGTTATTGAAAACCTCCAAACAATTAGTAACTAAGAAAAAAATTTTATAAGCACATTAATTTCTTGCATTACTAATTCACCGTTTTTTTCAAAAACTTCAGCTAAGGCAGTTTTGTAGAAACAAGCATTTTTAAGTAATGTGTGCTCATAAAAATTAATATATAATTTGAATGATAATATTAAGGAGATTCCGTCGTTTTTAAGGAGATGTATTCACTCGCTGAAAGAAATTAATGTTGTACTTTTACATGCTCAAAGTACACATGAATTTTTTAAATATTTTTTACCAGCCGAATCTTGAAGAAAAAAATTCCCGAAATCGTATTATCTAACATTTCTCTTATGGGTGAGAGCGATTATTCAGCCTTTGTTGCACAAATTTCGAGGCAAGAGAGTATTCATGATCTAGAAAAAGTTTAAATGGATAGCTTAACTCCCAAGGAAGACTCTTGTATGAAAAAATATGTACCTTATAAGCCATTTAAAAAAAAATATCTGTACAAATAAAAACAAGACCTCAAACTATAATGCAATGCAAAAAAAAAGTTTGTTTTTAGAAAATTTATAACACAATTTTGTTGACGAAGACTGAGTCTCTTTCTACTTTTTTAAGGTTAATTTTAATCATATAAACAACATGTTTTCAAGTTTTTTATACGAACTATCGGAAACTAGCTGCCTTAAAGTATGTAAGGTTATTTTTTCTTAACATTTAATGGTCTAACCTTTGGGTAATGACGAGTTGAACACAGTTAAATTAGCCGCGATGCAGTGAGCTGACATTCTCATGCACGGTTAGTACAACTCACTTCAACACATTGTCTTATGGGAGCCCCCGTATACCCGCACAACACCCCCCGGAAAAAAAATCAAACCTCCTTGACTTCTGTGACGCAATATTTAGTAATAGTTATGATGTTTCTTGCTCTTCATATTATTATAATTTTGTAATTTTTGATTGATCTTTTGTGGCAAACTTCTAAATAAAAAACACACACAACACGTTTTTCTTACAGCGACATTTCATCGACCGAAGTGTCTACCTCTTCAGGCTCTATTAACAAATTTAACAGTAAATCAATACAAAAACCAACAAATTTAAGACATAAACGCAAGCACTCAGATTACCTTTATTACAAACGCTGAAGGGAATTATTTAACGTAACGACGTTTGTTCCGTAGTCATAATATTAAGATTACAAGACAGATGTTGCACGAGAACTAATATCCTACACATTTCATTAATAAATATATAAAGAAAAGACTTATGAAAATTAACACTAAAGAATCTAAAAACCCAGGGTGTCGACTGGAAGCCTAAAACAAAATTTCCATATGTTTCCCGGTTTTTCCGGATGAATATTGGCAAAATTCCCGTATATTTTGACGTCATTAAAGAAGTGAATTTAATATTTTCTAGAGTTTATTTATCGATACAAATACACACATATGATGATTACTATACCTCGAAGGGCATTTTTAATGATTTTCTGGATCAGTTCAACGTTTTAATTTCTTTAGATGAGTCTGCATTTAACAGTACCGGAAACCAAGGTATTGCACTTAATGCTGTTGCTCAACTCCAGTTGAACATCCAGTTTTTACAGGTGACTTGCAAGCGTGGGAGCCCTTTAAAGATCTGTTTCGTTCGTTGATCCATCGACGTAATGATATAACCACTGTAGTTAAGTTTCATCACCTTCGATCTTATCTCTCTGGTGATGCGGCTGAGCTAATAAAGAGTTTGCCTGTAACAGCCGATAATTACGAAATTGCATGAGATACTCTTTGCCAAAATTACGGTAGCCGAAGAAGATTAGTGTCTTATTACTTAAAATTGATCTTATCCTGTAGATCCATGAAATCTGATTTTCTCAGTGAACTCAAGCGACTCCAAACCGACATGTTAGCGCCACTTGATTCTCTCGTCACTATTGAGCACAACATTGCAGATGCGGATTTATTTATCGAACTCGATATTAGTAAATTTGAAATTGGAAGTAAGCGCGATTGGCAACGTTCTTTTGGTTTTGAGACTGGCCCTGCAACTTTGGATCAGCTTCGTAAATTTTTTTTCAACCAGTCAATGTTTTTAGAAAGGATAGGTGATCGTAGTTTTTCGAATCGACAGACACATAGTAAAAATGCAACGACTCACTCATTGAGTATTGATAACTCCCAATGTTTGCTTTGTCATCGATCTCACTCCTTGAAATCGTGTCCTGCCTTTAATGATAAATCTGTTGTAGAGCGTAGAGATATCGTGTTTGCCATGAATTTTGGATTATTGGAGATCTTCAAACCGGGGGTTCCCTCACTTCACGTTGTGTTACTTGTAGGAGATATTCAGGTCGTACCCAGTCCCAAATGATGAGCCCCCTCCCTGTTCCTAGAGTTTTGCCTACACCCCCTTTTTTCAAAACGGGTGTAGATTACGCCACACCTGTCAAGGTTTGTTTGGCTAAAACAAGAGGTAGAGCTTCTACTAAGGGCTAGATCGCTGTTTTGTCTGCATGTGTACTCGTGCAGTTCACCTTGAGATTGTAGAGGATTATTCCTCGGAATCTTTTATTTCAGCCTTTACCAGATTTAGCGCTCGTCGTGGGGCGCGTGTTGAATTGTATAGCAACAGAGGTACAAATTTCATTGGTACTGAAAGAGAATTGTCTCAAATGCTATATGAGTTCAGTCTTTCTTACCGCGAGGCTCAGTTAGCTGGTATGAACACCACGTGAAAATATAACGCCCCAGCCGCCCCGCATTTCGGTGGGCTCTGGGAAGCCGCAGTAAAGTCTGCAAAATATTACCTAAAAAGAGTGATCGGTGATCAAGCACTTACGTTTGTCAGTTACTCCACTTGACTCTTCCAAATTAAAGCTCTGTTGAACTCTCGACCTCCAGTCCCTCTCACCAATGATTTAGATAGTCTCGCCATTCTTACCCCTGTTTTTTTATTAACTCTAAAAGAGCCTTATATCTTGCCTGAGCCAAAATTGTACGATATTAACGTTCCCCTACTCCGTCGGTGGCAATTCATCGCTCAACTCGCGCAGCAATTTTGGAAACGGTCGTCTGCGGAGTACCTTACTTCACTCTAACCTAGAAAGAAATGGCTAAGACCATCGCGTTCTATTAAGCTTGGGGACATAGTCCTGATAAAGGCAGAAAACACCCTTCCCGGTAGTTGGCTCCTTGAGCGCATTCTTAAAGTCTTTCCCGGAAAGGACGCTCTAGTTCGAGTAGCTTCCGTTAAGACTTGTTCGGGTACCCTCTCCCATCCCGTTCATCGTCTCGTACTCTTGGTAGAAAGCGACCAAAGTTCAGGGTTGCCTTGCCCTTTTCTTTGAAAAGGTGCAAGCCAAAGGGGGAGTTTGTTCAGATATTAGCTTGGTAAAAGAGGGTAGAAATGTAAAAGAAAAGAGATAGCGCTAATGAAAGCAAGAGTTGCCGGCTGTTCACCAACTTGGCAAGACGTCTCTGTCGCTCTGAATAAGACGAGGCCAGTGCGCCTCACCTTAAAACGCCTAATCTTAAAATGAACAAGATTTTCTGGAATTAAAGTTGAGCTTAACTCTCTTGCTTTCATCAGTATAAATTCAACGACATGTATTCAGTTCAATACAGTTTAAGTGATTAGACAGAACACAAAACGTTAAAACGAAATAAAGTTCAGTGATTAAACTGAAACCTGTCTCAATAAACTCAACAATTCTGAGTTAAAGCTTTAAACCCTTTTGTAATCAAGTCAAATTTTTTAATTAATGAGACCAAGTTAATTAAAGTGCAAGATATAAAACAAAAAAAAGAAGATTCACTCCATTTATTTCCTTCTAATCTTACTACCCGGCTTCTCTCAAAATACAGTCCAAAAACAAAAAGAGCTCAAGAGGCCAAAACTCCACAACAGTATAAGAAAAATTAAACATAGAAGATACCTAGTTTTAGCCAATAAAGTTATTTATTATTATCGTCCTTGTCATACTGACATAGTCACCGATTACTTGTCAAAGTTAACAAGCGCAAGTAGTAGTGATTTAACTATTTTTAAATTTCTAAAGGTCGTGAGAGCCATAATACTCATATGTTGTAAGTATTTGTTGATTTAATTTAAATTTGAATAACTTATTGCAAATAATAATATAAATTGCAAAAAAGGAATGTTGCTCATTCATCGAGAATTTGCAAAAAGAATGTCCTTGTCCTTTTTTAAAAATAAGTATATTCGTTACAAGAAGTGAATATAACGTTATTTATTGAAAAGTTAGTATCTTCACCAAAATTTTCGGAATAAATATCAGTTATTTTTTATTTATTTGGCACTTAAATAATTTAATTTTTNAATTTTTTGTCAGTTAAACAAATATTGATATTTAGTTTTAGAATACGAAACAACGACGAAAGATAAGATGATTTATTACTTTCTCGTACAATAATGCTTTAACTACTATTTTATAAAACTGGTAGAATTTGTCTAAAATCTTACTCTAAAACCATTAATTTATTTTAAAAATGGATATTTGTATAGCATAAATTATGTTCTTTTAACTATTTCTAAGGCTTTTTTGGGACCATAGAAGCCTAATCTAAAATCATTAAATCTACTTATCTCAATTTTTCTTTTTCAGATTCAAATCCCAGGAGCAAACTTCTTATATGGTTGTCTTTATGTCTAATGGTAAACGAAAGATATTTTTCCATAAAACTCGGCTGTACCGACCTTTGTAAAATCAACAATGGCTTTACCCGAGGAGATGACCAGGTGTTGGCTTTTCTTTGAAAAGAAAGCCCCTGAAGGTCTTGACATCACCAGAACTAATTGTTTTTAAAATTCGAATACAGTGATATTTTGGCATCCCGAGTTATCATTCTATCAAAAAATTCCGAGA